TGAGAGTGGGCGGGAATGTCCCCAGTGTACTGGCAGAAAGATGATTTATCTCTATTCCAAATCTCTGCTATGCAACATCGTGGATTTTTCTCTCCCCTTTAATTAAGAACTAAATATAGATCTTAATTAAGACACTGATGAATTTAATTTAGAGTGGCATTAGGGCCTTAACTTGCAGAGCCCAATGCTGTGTTTGTATAATGTGGGATATAAGCTAAATGAGTGCTTGCTTGTTACCACCGTAAATAGTTCCCCTGAAAAATCCCTTTGGAAGCATCACTAACATGAATGTGCCCCCATCTAGAGGATGCTCTTGGATGCCCACTGCCTAGCCCTTCTCCGTTTGTTGACATCACAAAATGCCCTGTCTTGTCACCCATGCTTGGACCCGACTAGGGTCCTCCTTTTCCCACTTCCACTGCCTTGCCCACCTCTGATTCTGTTCACACAAGTCCCTCCGCTGGGAAGGCCTTTTTCCTCACTTCTCACTCCAAGTTGGTCAGGAGAGCGCCTCCCTTCCTTCAAGTGCATGGATTTGATGAAGCCCTCTCTGCTCTCTCTCCCTGTCTCCTCATCTCTGAGCACTTGAGATGTGAGCTCCAAACTCCCATAGGGTTTTATTGATCTCGCACTTATTCTGCCGTCCACTGTTATTATTTCATTACCTTGTTATCTCCCTGGCCCAGTCAGGTTGTGAGAGCCAAGCACGGGGCCTGTGCACGGTAGGAAGAAGCTGTAGTTCGGCGGTAGGAAGAAGCTGTAGTTCGGCTTTCATCCATGGAGCTCAAGGAGCCGACCTCGCCACTCAATCATGCATGCCAGGCACCGTGCTAGGACCTGGGAGACCCTTAGAACCATTGCAGGGGTCAGGGCTGAATGAAGACGCATGGCAAGGGCAGGCAGGCCTAATTATATTGGGTGGAGTGCAGAGCATGGCCTGGGCCTGTTTCATTCGTTGTTGGGGCTCCAGTCTGATGCCAAGGTGGAAGTACAGCATGGTGATGAAGAGCTGTGCTCTAGAGCCTGATAGTCTGGGGCTGGACTCAGTGGCTTCACCTGTAAAACAGGGTTGTTATGAGGCTAAGTGAGATGTTGCCTTCAGTGCCGTACATGATGCACAGTAGGTGCTCAGGAACTGGTAGCAGTTGACAGGCTAACCTAGTTGGAGACTGAGCAACTGACAGTCAGGTGGAGGAGCAGAATGTGTCATTTGTACTTTGTATGTAGGACATTGGGGTACAGAGATTGCTTGGCCTCTTCAGGAACTCCGTGCTTTTGGTCCACCTTGTCTGGGGCCCTGGGCCCTTCCTCCGCCCTCTGTGCTTCTCACCTGTGAAAATGAGGGAGTGGGATGGAGTGATTTCACCCCCTCCCTTTGTGGTCTCGGGTGACTCAGCCCCCTGGCTCCTCCTCCTCTCTTTCTGAACCTTTCCTTGGTGCAGTTTCATCACAAATGTCGAGTGTCAGCGAGGGGACTGTTTTTCAAGCACTTGGCCGTGCGGTGTCATGGCTCTTTCACGTGGCAAGTGGTGACTCTCTGTGATTTGAAGAACGGCATCGTTTCCCTGGACCTGCTGCCCTGTGACAGCATGGCTGTTCCAGGCTCTGAGCGGAAGGCGCCCCTTCTGAAACCTGACGATCCAGCTCCCCTCTTGCCGCCGGCACGTTTTGAACACTGTCCTTGAGGCTCTAGACTAGTGTTTCTCAGCCTCAGACTATTGACGTTCTGGGGCCAGATCATTCTTGGTTGGGGGCACTGTCCTGTGCACTGTAGGAGCTTTAGCAGCATCCCCGGCCTCTACCCTCTAGATGCCAGTAGTAACCCACCCCCCTAGCTGTGACTATCCAAAATATCTCCAGACAAGGCCAGACATTCCCTGGGGGGCAAATTACCCCCAGTGGGAACCATTGCTTTGTACTACGTGCAGGCCGTGTGCATTATCTTGTGTATCTACATGCCAGCTTGTGATACAGACACTGTTCTAATACTCGTTTTATAGATGAGGAAACAGACTGAGAAGGGATTCTGGAATCAGGCATGTTGCCATCTGCAATCTGGGCACCCACTCAACCTCCTTTAGCCTCAGTTTCTCACCTTTAATATGTTGAAAATCACACCTCACTCGGGGTTATTGTCAAGTTCCTAGCACAGTGCTTGACACTTGGTAAGTGATCAATAAATATTAGCAAATATTCTTTTGTTGATGCAGATTCAGACTCAACAAACATTTTTCATGCCTACTATGTGCCAGTAATAGTAACAGTTAATATTTATTCAGTCCGTGCTATATGCAAGGTGGTGATTAAATGTCTTAACTTGTTTGACTCTCGCAGGAATCCTGTGTGGTAAATGTTATTCCTGTTATTCAGATGAGGAACAGAAGCACAGACAGTTAAAGAACTTGCTAGTAATGTGAGATACAGGGATTCGAACCCAAGACCATGCTCTTTATTGCTGCGCCATGCTGTGGCACCAAGCTTTTAGTAGGAGCTTTCATGTTCATTTCGTTTGTGAGCCCCATCTCCAGAGACACCTCTTTCCAGAACTGTACTCTCCAATTTGGTAGCTGTCAGGCATATGTGGCTATTTGAATTAAAATGAATTAAAATGCAAAATTCAATTCCTCAGTCACACCAGCCACATTTCAAGTGCTCGATAGCCCCCTGTAGTTAGTGGCTGTGTGTCAGACGGCTCAGATGCAGAACGTCACCATCATCGCAGAGACTTCTATTGGGCAACGCTGTTCTAGGACTGTGGCAAATGAATTTCTTTCCCTTAAGAGTTTTTTTGATGTCCCTTCAGTTAATTAGTGTCAGGCAATCAACACTGCATCCAGAATTGTACAGCCACCAGAGTTTCCATTCATTTAACATTTCTTAAGTTCCTACTATGTGTCTGGGACAGTATTTGGGACTGAAGATATAAAGATAAATAAATACGGTCCCTGCTCGTAAATGTAATTTATAAGAGCATCAGGTATTTAACTTATATAACTCAGTGCTGTGTTTGTATCATGTGGCCTGGAGCTGAATAATGTGAAATGTGCTAAACTTGTGCAAGGGCCAAATGTCATGGGAGCCAGTGCAGGGGATAAATGCTTCTCTCAGAGTTGGCTGGGGGGGTGCTTCCTCGAGGAGGGACCGGGGGACCTTCCTGGGTAGTCCTTGGACGGGCAGAGACTGGGTGAGTTCTCCAGGTTCTCGAGTCTGGCTCAAACTCTCTTGGACTGGAATTTCTGCTGTAGAAACTTGCAGCTAAGAAGGTCCAGCTATTAGGGCAGATTGGCCTTATTTAAAGGAGATTCTGTCAATTATAAAGAAGTTACATTCCAGGTGAACCCCTAGTTGAGCACAAGGAGTGGGGATTAGAAGTGCAGAGATGGAAAATATTAGAGGGTCACCTCTGCTTGTGCCTCTGGAGACCCCAGTGTCCTTCTTTCCTAATTCCAAGCTGAGCCCTTCCTCCCACCTCCCTGGAGCTCTCAATCCCCACTCCCCACCGTGTCAGCTGACCCTGCCCAATCGCCCATCTTTCTGCTCCAATTCAACACTCCCCTAGCTCAGAAATTGCCTGGTGATATTGGGAACAATGAGCCCTGACTCTGTTAGTTCAGAGCAAAATGGTTTTGTTTTTTTTTAAGGGTACTGCATTCCTGGTGATGTATGGATAGGAGAGCGGGAGAGCTGGGACAGGCGGGGAAGAGGAGTTAGGACTCCAGAGTGGCTGGAGCCCCGTGGGGCAGGGGAGGTGGCTGCTACTGCCAACGCGTGGGCTCATGGTCCTGCAGAGCAGGGCCTTGGCTCAGCCCAGCAAGAGGAAAAACCCTGGGTGCTTGGCTGGGAGGGGTGAAGCCATCAGGGCTGCCAAGGAGCCAGGGGCCGTGGAGAGCTTAGGCCTTCTTGGAGGCAAGAGAGGCATCAAATTTAGCTTCATCTCACCCAGTCTTGGACAAGAGTGAGGCGGTGAGATGGCCTCGAATGAGAAGGTTCACACGGGGCCCACGCTGAGGCCCAGAACCTACAAGTGATTTGCCTAGGGTCACACAGCAAGTGAATGGCTCTGTCACTAGATCCTAGGGCTTTGTGCGTGTGTGCGTGTGTGTGTGTGTGTGTGTGTGTGTGTGTGTGTATGTGTATCAGTAGTTCATTCCTTTTATTCTTGAGCAGTGTTCCATGGTATGCATGTACCACAGGCTATCTAACCATTCACTTGATGGACACTTGGGTTATTTCCAGATATTGGCTATTATTATTTTTAATTAAAAGACTTCACTTTTTAGAGCAGTTTTAGGTTTACAGAAAAATTGAGTTGGAATACATGGAGTTCCTGTATACCCCCTCAGTTTCCTGTATTATTAACATCTTTCGTTGGTGTAGGACATTGGTTACAATTGACGAACCAATATTGATACACTATTATTAAGCAAGGTTCATAGTTTACATTAAGGTCACTCTTGGCTTTGTCCATTCTATGGGTTTTGACAAATGTAGAATGTCCTGTGTCCACCATTACTGTGTGGTACACAATAGTTTCGCTGCTCTAACAATCCCCTGTGCTCCTCCCATTCATCCCTCAGTCCCTCCTAACCTGTGCCAGTCACTGATCTGTCACTGTCTCCACAGTTTTTCCAGGGCTCTTTATTTGCTTCTCCTTAGAGTTTTCTAGAAGTCTCCCCTCATGGATCTCTAGACCCAACCACGCCTAGCCATAGAGCCTTCTTGGAACCCAGGCCCCGTGAGGAGCTGGTTTGGGGGTGTGTGAGCAGCCTGCACATGAGTTTGGATTGTTTCTTTTAAAGACCAGCTATTGCTGGAACTGGCTGACCCAGCCCCCCTCTACTGGCTGAGCTGTGGCCTCAAGAGGGCTTGGTGCTCCAGGCCTGTTTGGGGGTGAGGGAGAGCGGAGGAGGGAGGGGGTGGCCTTGTCAACTGAGAGCTCTGCTCTGGGGCCTTTTCCAACCTTGAGGCTCTCCGAGACCCCAAGCGCTCAGATCCTTTACAACCGAGAGCTTAGAAGCCAGCTGCCTGGGCTTTCTCCCTCCCAGTGCCTCTGGCTCAGCCTGGGGCTGCCTCCTGGCTTGCAGGCTCCCCCTCTAAGTCCCACTTTCATTTCTAAATAGACGGTAAAATAAGCAATTGATTTTTGGATATTACATAAGCTGGGTGAGGGAAACTTTAATAAGGAAAAGAGCAGAGGGAGGGGTCTGAAGATCTTAAACTCAAAACTACAAAAAGCCTACCATTTCCAGCCCAAACGGAGACAGCTACAAACCTGCTGTGATCAGAGAGATGGTGCAGGTGGCCCCAGGCCCTTGGGAGAAGCCTGGCCCAGCCAGCCAGGGCTCTGTGATGTCCCACTGGAGGCTAGGCCCAGGCAAGACTTCTGTCCCTCCTCCCGCTGTGGCTCCCAAGGTCGTCCATTCTGTCCCCCTGGCCATTCTGCACCTTCACAGTCACACCTTCATTTGGTTCTCAAACCACCCTTGGAGGCAGACTGGGACTTCAGACAGTCAGGGACACACAGGACATGAGGGTAGGAAGGCATAACGGGGACTGCAGCTCAGGTGTCCCAGTGCCTGGGGCAGCGTCCATTCCCTTGTTGTCAGGCCAGATGATGAATGCATAGTCCTTTGCAGGGTGTCTGTGATCAGTACTATTGATGGTGCACACACTCTAGGCAAGGAAACTGAGCTTGGGAGAAGTGGCTCTCACTTGCCCAGGCCTTTGGACCCCTGGTTCAGTGTTCTTGATTGTTCCATGTTCTGTATGGACCTGCCCATCCAGCCCACGTCAGGTTGGGTGGGCTGTCCAGAACAGGTTATAGAGGTGTGTGTGTATGTGTGTAGGGTGGGGAAAGACAAGGATTGTAGGCATAAGTGGTGGTGGGGGGGTAACTGAAACTTGGCAGAGGGAGGGTGGAAGGTTTGTTAAGGGTCTCATGGATCCTGCTGTACACTGGCCTCCCTGGCTTGGGAGATTCTCATTAAGAACATATGGCCCTGAACAACCACATGGGCACTGATGTAACCTCTGCACCCCCTTCTCTTAGACACCCTGAGCTCCAGAGTCCAAAGAATGCTGGCAGGCAGGCCTAGGAATCCCACATCTCCCCCAAATCTGGAGTCCCATGAACGGGAACCCCAGAGGGCTTCAAAGGCTGGATGAGTGACCATCCCTCTATGGCCCATTGCTGACCTGCGTCAAAGTCCTTGTCTGGATTGGGTTTTGGAGCCAGCATCTGAGAGGCATCCCCACTGACCACAGCCAAGGGGACATTCATCCTGAATCTGGTGGCACTGTGCTTTTCACAGTAGCTAAATCCATACCTAGAGTTTTAGAATCTCTTTCAGAAAAGATTGGAAATGTGAGAAAACAAGAAAGACTTGGTAATGTCCTTTTGCTGGGTTGTAGAGATGCAGGACGGCCCTTGTCCAGCCGTTTACACTCACAGAGGAGAAGAAACAAGTGCATAGGGAGGCTCTGTGATAGGAGGCGAATAAATACCCCCATGGGGGTACCATTTTGCATGGGTTCAGAGGTGGCAGCGGCCTCCTCTTGGTGTGGCCCTGAGGAGGGACAGTTGGTATTTGAGCTGAACCCTGAACAATGGGTAGGAATTCCACAAATGGCAGTGGGAGGGAAGGGTGTTCCAAGTGGCAGAAATGGCACGAGCCAGAGCAGCAAGATGAGAAATTGTATTGTATTTGGGAACTGGCCAAGTATTGAGTTAACTGAAGCATGGAGTGTACATAGGAGAGGGACGGTAGAGAAACCTTGGATGGCGCCTGAGCCCAGTCATGGAGGATCTTGAATGCCAAGCAAAGGAGTTTGCGCTTCACTGAACAATCAGTGGGGAGCCTTTGAGCGGTTCTGACCTGGGGGTGCCATGATCAGCCTGGTGCTTGAGGAAGGTTAGTTTGGCAAGTTGCACAGGATGTATTTCAGCAGCCACCAGGTGATTGCAGTGGGCTGGGCAGAGGGTGGAAGCCCAACCTGGAGGAACAGCCATGTGAAGGGGTTCAGGGTGTGCACTGGGGAATCTCAGAGAAGAGAAAGATATGGCTCCCGCCTGTAAGCCTAGCTGGGGATATATATATGGATATATATATATATATATAATGAGAGAAAGGTATAAGAGGAGGATTTAATGAGGTGCCAAATTGTATATGGTCAATACGTGTTTTGGGCTGATGGAAAGGGATGAATCAACAGGGGTTGAAGCAGAAGGAACGGCTTTTTGGACCACGTGGGACCTGAGCTGATTCCTGAAGACCATGAGGCTGTGAGTAGGAGAAGAGGAGCAGAGATAAGGGAACAGTGTGAGTGAGGGGTGCATGACTCGACCCGGAAGGCGGGAACGAGGGCCAGACTGGGCTGAGCTGATCATGTTATTTCTGAATAAGGTGTACTATTAAATGCAGGGTTCCTGGAGCTCAGAGGCTGGGGTCATTGGGAAGGCCCAGGGCAGGACCTGCAGCACCTGTTTCTTGGAAGACTCCAGATCTCCAGGCCCTCCAGCCGGGACCTCCACGATGTCTTAGGCAGGCCGGTCTTATCTCTTCTGGCCAGGGTCTAGAGCTCTTACTCCATCCTAAGGCTGGTCCCTTCCTTGGGAACCACAGCAGAGAGCACGGGGAAGGAATGTGGGCCTGGAAGTCAGGTTTTGATAAAGCAGCCTGGGTTGTAGGAGTCAATGTCTGGTCCCCTCATCAGGTCCTAGGTTTTTTGGGTGCTAAACGAGGATCCTCAGATTTCCGTGAGGACAGCTACTCTTTGGAACCCATAGTGGGCAGCTGTCCCTGGCATCCTGCTGTCCCTCCCACTCAGCCTTTGGCGGCCTCACCGGAGACTTCTCCTTTCATGTCCCCTTTGCTTGTTTCTGCAGTGGGACGTTGTGGGGCGGAGACCAAGACTCACTTCACGGTTGCTCTGCAGGCCTGATCCTGCAGTGCAGGCACAGGGGCCGGGAGATGGAAACTGTCCCTGCTGGGTGCTATCTCCCCCTCCGTCTTCCTCCGTCTTAGGCAATGGGAGGCACTCCTGTTAACTCTCCACCTGCCTGTAGGGTTTAGGGGGTGGGCAGGCCCTCTCCATCTCCTTGGCCTGGCTTAGGAATCCGACACTAGATTCAGGGCAGCTGTAGACGTGCATAAAAGATTCCAGTTTTGATCCTATGGTGGGGGTCAAAGCAGGCAAAGGGATGAGAAATATTTAGGACCAGGCAGTCTGACCCTACATCTCTCCCTCTTCTCCCAACCCTTGTATTTATTAAGTAACTGAAGGCTAAGTGGCTGGTCGGTGCATCTTGGGTGGGAAACTTGAGTGACTAAAATGGAAGCTGCAGCCTGAGAGGGGCGGAGCAGAGCAATGTCACCATTCCGCATGCACATCACATGATAAGTGGTACTGTACCGTGAGAGACCTCTGCCCTCCCAACCCACCTCCTGCGCAGCCCACCAAAGCGGGGGTCATGGCACAACCGCTGGAGCTGGTTCTCGGGTGGGCTTCAGATTCGGCACCGCTTTAGGAGGGGTCTTCCTCCCTCTGCCCAGGGGTTTGCTAAGGCTTTTACGCTGCCTCCAGCCCCCAGCTCATTCTCAGGTGACTCATGTGCTACTTACAGAACAGTCAAGTCTTGCCACTTGCTTCTTGTAAAGAGCTGGCGCTTGGACTCCGATGCTGGGATCAACTCCCGGGTCTGCACTTAGAAGCAGGGATGGGGGCTTGTGGCTCCAGTCGTGGCTCCCCAGGGTGGGGGTAAAAGCCCCTGTGGGGTCATCCCAGGGGCAGCGCTGTGAGGGGTGGGTCCCGGAGCATAAAGCATGAGGGCTCCCCCGCACCCAGGACTGAGGGCCTCCAGGGTGCATCCTGGACACCAGCCCAGCATTTCTGCATTCCCTGCACAACCTGGGACATGAAAGAGCACACACTCTGCCAACCCTCTGGCCCCTGGGCCTCTGAACTGAGGAAATGGCTGAATAATTAATGAGGCTGGAGCACTTCAGAGAGGGGGCCCCCGGGGACAGTGTGGGCAGAGGAAGGGGCATGGACAAGTGAGGGCGGGGGACCTGGCATGTGGAGAGATGCCAGGAGTCCTGATGAAGTCTGTGGCTGTGGCTTCCACTGCAGTTCACAGCTGTTGACTCACACGGAGGAAAGTGACCACGAGAGCTTGCATACGGATTGTGTTGCAAACCCTCAGCCTGTTGCACATCTAACCTCCCAGTGGTGTCACTATTGTCCCCCCACCTCAAGCTCCCTACCAAGAAAAGCTACCTGTGGACTTTTCAGAGGTAGTTCGTGGGACTGGATTTAGGCTGGATCCCGGGAACCCTTGCTAAGATGAGGGCTACAGGACAGGAGACTTTCTGGGGCATTTAGAGAAGGGCCAGACCAGCCAGGAGGGTGGTTGTGGTACATGTGACTTCCAGCAGGTGCTGGACAAGGGTGGCTTGCATGGCAGTTCCCAGAGGGGATCAAGGGTCCTTAGAGGCATCCCTGCCAGGTACTTGGTTGCTTCTGGTGATGAGATGCTCTCTTCTTTTGAGGCTGCAGCTCTATTATGTGGACATCCAAGCATGTGACCTGGGGACTTCCCATCTCTTGTTTTGTCTGTCGACTCAACACTACCCTTACCCTTTCTGCAGGCCCCAAAGGGGCAGCAGCTCCCCAAACTCAGCCTGCAGAAATAGGGTACGCACCTTTGTTGAGTGCTTGCCACGTGTCTGGTTCTTTCCTGACTGAGTCTACTGGATAGTTCAGATGTGTAAGCAGGAGTGCCTCCCCTTTAAAGAGAAATAAACTGAGGCACAGAGACACTGAGTACTTGGTTCAAATCACACCCCTAATAGCGGGTGAGTTGGGGTCCAAATGCATGTGGCTGAGCTGGGATTGGAACTTCAGGCCCTTTGCGTGTCAATCTGGAACTGGAGGAGGCTCTCATTCTTTTGCTGGGCGTTTTGAGGGCCTTTGAGTCGGGCTCACTGTTGGCGCAGCTTCTCAGGTGCTGCCCACTGCCCCAGCCGCCCAGCTCGCTCAAGCCCTTCTCAGCCTAAAGCAACTACTAGAGCAGCTGTCAGACTCGGGAGCCTGCCTGGGCCTGGATCTCCTTCCCACGCTTCCTTTCCCCCTTCTTTGCAAAGCCTGGTTGAAGCAGGTGGATGTCCTGTATTTGCCGGGTGGATGGGACCCACCTGTTACCCCCTTCTCCCTGGTCTTGCTGTGGGGCACTTGCCCAGGCTTTCTTTCTCTGCTAACACCCAAGCATGCCACCAAAGCAAGTGGAGGACCCCTCCTTTAAGCTCAGCATTGGCTTATGCCCACCCTCTCTGCACATCCTTCCGGCTCTGCATCCCTTGGCTCTGATTGGCTTAGGGCTTTCCTGTGCACCTCAGGTGCATGCTTGTCCAGCACCATGTATGGTCTGAAGAAACTCAGGAGGGCTTCCTGGAGAAGGTGGTCTTGTAGTACTAGGCGGCAGTAGCTCACTCTGAAGTCCCTGCCGGGCACAGACACAGGGCCTGAAGGTGCCGGCTGTGGGGAGGAGGCACAGACGGAGGAAGGAGGGAATGCTGCCGGAGCCTGGCCAGCCCAGGGTCGATGGACAGAGTGTCCGCAGACCTCCCACGAACACTTTGCACAGATTGTCGTGAACCGACACCAGCAGCACCCCAGCTGCTCCTCTCTTCCTAGCCCCATCCTGGCTGGTTGGGCACAGATTAAATCATTGGATGGTCTTGACCCTGGCGTCTGGTGGAGGTTGGGAGGCTGCAGTGTGAGTTGCCTGCCATGAAGCATGGCAGGAACTTCAGCTTCATCTGGCTGGCGGCCCCTCTGCCAGGGCAGTGGGCAGGAGCTGGTCAGGTGGTCCGCGCTGCACCACCCTCTGCTTCTTGTGGGGGGCGTCCAGTGCTCCCTGCAGAGGGCTCTGGGCACTGTAAGAACAGGCCGGTCTTGCATTTTAACACAAAAACACTTTATTGACCTTTAGCCAGCAAGGGAGGAATTGAGGCCAAGGGCGCATCCATTCCTCCTGAGAGGGAGGCCTTCTTAGGGAACTCTGAAACCAGACTAGGAGGGGCTAGTGTGCGCCACCGTGGAGCCTCCTTCTGACTTGAGTGGGGCCGCATTTCCTGTGTTTTGGGGACCCTGAAAGGCAGTTGCCAACTATGACAGCACAGTGAGGGGCTGGCCTCTTAGGTGTACCCAGCCAGCGTCCTCCAGCCCGACCTGGAGCAGCAGCCCTTGGGTTCTCGGAGCAGGGCCCCAGGCTGTCTGCTCGGCCTTGGGGTTCTGCCCCATGGGTGCCAGGTGGCTGCTCAGGGCCCTGGCGTCTGGCCGACCCTGCCCACTTGTGGGCATGAGGATGGGGCTGGTACTCCTTTCCCTGCCACCCCTTCGCTGGGGTGTCCTGCTGCTCCCAGAGCTGCTTCACGTCACCAATGTGGCCTTGTGGGGCGTGCCCAGGCTTCAGGTAGTCACATACTGCTCTGGAGGGCTCACCTTGCCTTAGGCCAGAATCCAGGACTGGCCAGCACCACAGGGGGCTCAGTCCCCTCAGTCCTCATCCTAGCTGTGCGGGCGCTCATGGTGCCCCTGCCCTCCCAGTGCCTGGGTTCAGGCCAGGCCCCTCTGGGTCAGGGACTTGTTCTGTGTGAGAGGGCACCATCTGCCAGGAAGGCTGGCTTGAAGAGGCAGGGCATCCTGCTGGCTGGCTGGGGCCTCGGGGCCCCCTTGCTTGTGATCACTCTCCCCTCTGGAGGACCCTCAGTGTCCAGATTCCCTGTAGACATCGAGGTCAGGGGGGTGTGGACGTTTGGGACCTCTAGGCAGGTTGCCCGGTCCTGCTGTGGCTCTGTCTTGGCCATGACAGTCACTGTCCTGAGAGGGTCATAGGCTGTAGGTGCCACAGGGCAGGAGGGGTGTCCTGGGTCTTATGGCTCAGTCTTCAGCAGGCTGGGCAGGGATCCCAGTGATAGGGGTCCCAATGGGTGGCAGGGCTGGTCCTGTCGTGTGGCCCTGGGGGTGGCCCAGGCAAATGTTGAAGGGAAAGGGACCCAGTGTTCCAGCTCAAAGCTGATGTCTGGGGGCCAACTGCCTGCTGCCTCCTGGCTCATGGGAGGTTTGGGAGGGAATTCTGTCGTCATGGCTACAGCCAGTCCCAAGAGCTGTCCTGGGCTGGGGCCAGGCAGGCCAGACCCAGAGTCTCAGGGTCCCAGAGAGTGGTTTGCAGCTGTGGGCCTTGTGGAGGTCCCCTCATGCTGCTGCTCCCAGGCCTCAGGGACAGCCTGGTTGGGCGAGGGTCCCAGCTGCTCGTGCTGGGTGAGTGGGCCAGGGAGGGCCAGCCCATCCTCTTAAGGGAGCATCTCAGTGCTGGGAAAGGTGAAGAGGGGCCTGGGCAGCAGGGGCACTCACTCCAGGCCCATCGGTCCCAGAACATGATGTGGTTTCAGAAGGTATAGGTCACATCTAGGTCGATCTGCTTTATGTCCTGAGAGAAAAGCTTGGGTTGCTCCTTCATTTTCTGTGGGCGGAACCCAGGAGGAGGAGCCAGCATCAGAGATTCAGAACATTAACTGCCACCAACTGCCATCAGAAATGGAGCGGGCGCTGCTGGCTGGAACGTGAGTTTTTCCTGCAGAAACCTCATTCTTTGGCTTGTTTCTGAAGCCAGGGAGGGTCAAGCCCGGGATGCCCACATCACGGTCTGTGCCCAGCAGCCCTGGGGAGGGGACTGCTGATGGTTAGTCTGTGGGCTCCTTCGAGGCCCAGACCCCTACTCGTTAAAAAGGCACCGTCAAGGCTACCAGATCCTCTCCTCCTCTCCCCTGCACAGGGCCCTGTCCAGGACAACAGCGCCCACCTAGGCTCTGAGCTTGCCCCCCAGGCTGCTCCCTGGAACCTGCTCCCAGGGTACTGGAGGCCGGCTCACTGTCTCACCAGCTCGCTTCACCAGCTCTGTCTTGCCAAGCATGAATCTGCCACCAGCTCACCCGGCCATCCCCTGACTCAGGGCCCCGAGAAGGGAGGGCTGCCCCGGGCTGGAGGCCTGTCTGCAGCGCTGGCTCCCATCACCCTCACGCTAAAACTATCCGGGAGGAACATGGAGCCCCATGGCCCTGATACCCTCACTTTCAGATCCCTGGTTAAGAAGGCAAAAAAGTATTCTTGGGGCTCCACATAGGCCTGACTGTTGTGCATGTTTCCCATTTAAAAGCTTTTTTTGCTCATATAAAGGAAAACTCTTGACCTTGCCTATTATCTTGTGCCCAGCCAATTTTCCAGATTAGTTTGCTAATTCTGATTAATAGGTTTTTGTAGAATGTCTTGAGTTTTCTAAGTATATGATCGTATCACCTGCAAATGGAGATAATTTTGTTTCCTCTCTTTTCATGTGTGACAGTCACTTTTATTTTCTTGACTAATTGTACTAGTTAAAACTACCAAAACAATTTGAATAACAGGAATGATAGCAGACATCTCTGCTTTTTTTCTTCCTGATTTTAAGGGAAATGGCTTCAGCATTTCATTTCATGGCCCCTTAGGATATTTGCTGTTGGTTTTTCCTAAATAGTTTAAAAAATATTTAGTTTATTTCTATTCTTATCTTACTTATGATTTTTTAACAATTTAGAAATGGCTGCTGAATTTTATTTACTAGTTTTCTGGAATCCACTGACATCATCAGGTGACTTTTCCCTTTTAATGCGTCGATGTGACATTTAGTCCCCACAGGCTGGTTCTGGAACATACCCTCCCGGGTCATGAGGCATGATTCCTTTAATCCCTTGCTACGTTAAACCTGTTAAGATTATCTTTAGAATTGCACCTTCATAGTCAAATGTGAAATGGATTTATAGGTTTTCTTTTCTTTACCAGGAGCTCTTTACCTGGTTTCAGTATTGGGGCTGACAGCTTTACAAACACGGAGCTTTCCATTTCCCCTGGGTCTGAGCGCCAGGCTGAGTGGCTGCATCTTAGAAGCTTGCATCCCCTGCAGCCACCAGCAGCCCCGCCCACACTCCACTGAGGGCGCTCGCATCTTTTCTTTGGTTGTCCTTCAGTTAAGGCTTCTCTTTTTCTTCCACGTGGGCCAATTTTGCTTGGAAATCATCTGCTTCCTCAATTTTCAAATGCGTGTCCACCGAATTGCACACAACCTTCCCTTGTAATTCTCTACACCTCGTCCCGCTTGTGGCCAGGGCCCCGTTTCTCTGAATGCCCCACATTTTCTCCTCTCTCCGTTCCTTTGTTCAACCTTGGGAGAGGTTTGGCTATAAAACTGGTTTTCGCAAGTGCCCAGTTTTGGGTTTTATTTATCTTTTCTACATCTATTGGTTTTCTATTTCATTTTGCGTTTTTAAACTTCCTCTTTGTTATCCTTTTTCTAATTTTTCCTTCAATTTTAAAGTTGAATACTTAGTTCCTTAATGTCAGTCTTTAAAAAATAAAACACATGTTTTGTGGGTCTTTTCATTATCTGTTACATAATTTGTAGTTTCAGTTTCGATATTCTTTTTGCTCCTACGTTTTGCTGCTATGGAGAACAGAACATTTTTCTTACAATATTTACTAAGGAGTTGGTAAATAAGGTGGTGGTTTTCGTTATTGGTGCGGCACCATTGTGTTAGATAAATTATAGCTGAGGATGCTGGAAGTAGTAACAATCTGCTACTTCAGTGAACTCTCTTTTTGCCAACTGGGCCCCTGGCTGAGTCCCTTGTGTCCTTTCATATGCGGTATCATCAGCTATTAGGCAGTTTGTCTGGATTTTCATCTGTATCTCGATGCATCTGGCTGGGTTCCTGGTCATAAGTTCAGAAACAGACTCGGGCTGTCAGAACTTGCAGGGAGCCTGGGGGCTGGGATGCAGGATCAGGTAGGGTGCAGATGTCCACGTGCTGCCCCTTCCTTCCTGAGAAGGAGCTGGCCACACCCGGCCCGGCACCAGTACAGCAGGAGGGGTCTGGGCTCACCCTCTTGCCAGGACAGCATTCCACAGCCAAAAATAATCCTGCCTCTTCTCTAAATGCCTTACTTATCCTGTCCCATCGCACTGAGCCCATTTGCAGGACCACGGTAACAAGCTGTGCAATGGGTAACTAGACCCTCTTCTTGTCTCCAGTTTTACGGGTGCCCTTTGAGGGTTTCACAATTAAGCATGATGCTGGTTGTTGCTCCACAATTATCAATGGGTGTCTACATCCATATCTATTTACCACATTAAGCAATTATCTATTCTTGGGCTGCTCATTGAAGTGTGACCATCTCTATACCCTCTCCCAGCTGCATTTCCCAGTGTCCAGGCTTCGCTGGGCCGGTCCCACTTGGTCTGGGTGCATCACTGCCCTTTCCCTCCCTGAGGCAGTACGACCTGGGGGGCACCCTAGTGGGAGACGTGAGCATTGAGAATGAAGCCAGGTGCAGGCTCCTCACTGGGGGGATGGGAAAAGACCCGTTTATTGTCTCAATTAAGTCTTTTTCTGTTTATTCAATTTAACTTATATCTGTTGTTCACGTCTGTTTGGTTTTGCTTTTCTCATTTTATGGTTTGTGTGCGTGTGCTTCCTTGCTCTTTTTCCCTGGTTTCTATCCTTTGCTGTGTGACTCTGGCCCCCACTCAGGTGTCTGAGAGGCCTTGGTTTGATTCCAGTGGCGTCCATCCATCCCTGGATCCAATGTCTGCACTGGGCTGAGCTGGGCGGAACTGAGGCCCAGGCAGCATAGAGAGGGGCAGGGCTTTCCCAGCAGGAGTGCCCCAAGCCGTTGAGTCTAGGAGGTACCAGGAAAGTGCTCAGGACAGGCGAGGGGTCCCCGTGGTACACGACCTGCTCCCTTAAGCAAGCTCCTGGGAGGGCTTGGCCTGTCAGCGCTGCCTCTGCCGGGTGCAGAAGGGCCACCTCAGGTTTTCCTTCATTCTCTGCCTTTAGCTTCTGAACGTCCAATCGGAGAGACCACACCTGATCTTGCATCTGTCAAAGGATTCCTTTGGAGACCTTCGATGCTTCTACAGGATAGAAGAAAGCTCTGGTGAAACAGGCCACAGGGCGACGCTGCGGAGGAGATGAGTCGGACGCATCTGGAAGATTCTAGTCTTCAGCTCCGTGGTTTCTCAGAAGAGGTTGGGTTTACCCAGAACTGGGCCCTGTCTCCCACAATTAAGAGTGGACGAGGGCTCGAGGGACATTGTGAACTATGGTCCTGACTTATCCTTCCCTATGAGGCCCTGGGCCTGGGCTGGCTCCGGCTCTGGCGTCAGATCCTCTCCAGGCGAGGTGACCCTTGTGGGGTGGTCAGGGAAGCTGCGAGCTGCCCTGGGGATCCAGGCCCGTCCTCCTTGGGATCAGGAGAGCATACCGCCTATCTAGTGCTCAGTTCTCTATCTTCTTGCTGCTCTGGTATTTATACCATTCCTTTAGCATCTTGACCCACTTATCTGCTCGCCCAGTCTCCCGGAGTTTCTGCTAGAAAATGAGAAATGGTGGTGTTAGCCAAGCTGCCAGCTTTCCTGGAGTGGCACAGCGTTGAGTCATGCTTAGGAGCCCCGATGTGGGCGAACTCAGAGGAGCCAGAAAAGGCACAGACTGACTCACACAGACACCAGGGCTTCCAGCTGGGTCCCAGCCTCGAGGTGGGGTCTTGGCAGCCAGCGGGCAGTGACCCCTGAGCTGAGTGTGTGGTTCTGGGACAAGTGGATTTGGTAAAACCTCCCCCAGGACAGCTTGGAGGTCGGGGGTGGCAGGAACCCCAGTCCCTGCACCCATGGACCTCCTCCTGCCTGCACAGTGAGGACAAGCTCTTACCATTACCGGCCCCCCCCCCCCCCCCCCCCCCCCCGCCCCGGGTGCTGAGGCTGGGCAGCTCCTTCTCACTGGAAGGCAAAAGAAGCAGAGCCATGAGGACCTGCCCCAGGCCAGGTGCCAGGGAAGGACCAGGCCCTCCCCTCACTAAACCCCAAGTCTCAGCCCAGGTGACTCTGGAAGGGAGGGCTAACCCCAGGAGGGTGCCAGCAACATGGGGCAGAGGGAGGGCAGCGGCTGCCAGGTGCTTATGGGGCTCCAGCCACAGTCATGCCAGAGGCAGTGGCCTCTGTAGGAGCCTAAGAAGGGACAGTGCTGGCACGGGGAATGGGCTGCGTCCTGATAGCAGGCCCCCAGAAGGTGACCTGCCACTGTCCTGGGGTTGGGCCAGCCTGAGAACTCCCCAGTACAGCCAGGGTACACCCTGTGCCCATCCTGCTGACATCCTCATGCCCCTCATGGGTCTGTCTGCCGTCTATCCTGCCTCTCTCTGCACCCCTCCCGTCCCCTGACTTCACCCCTCTCTCGTCCGTCACTTCAGCCACTCTGGCCTATCTTTTACCCCTTATCTTGTCAGAACCTCTGAGCACGACCCACCCCTGATTGGCCCAAACAACTGCTCATCCACTGGGCAATGAGTGTGACCGAGGGGCAGACAGGTTGGCCCCGTGCCGTGTATCCAGCCTCAGCCTGCTTCTCATGGTGGCCGTTGGCTTCCTTCCCTCCCACTGCAGCATCACCGCACAGCCTGCTGCGCTCTCTACCTTCACACTCCATGCACCAGGGCAGCCTCCTCCCCATCCTCCCTTCTGCTGATGGGGGTCATCCACCCTCTCTGCTCTGCACCACCACCCCTCCCCCGCCTGATCATGGCGCCTCCTCCACGGCTTCTCGCCTGCACTTTTGACCAGCAGTGTCTTTAGAGAGCACTGCAGAGGCCTTCATGCCTTCAGGACTGACCGAGGCTCCTGGCTCAGGTGTCTCAGGTGAGTCGCTTTGGCCCTGGGCCTCTCCCCATTCCAGGCTGTCCTCCCCCAAAGAGGATGCCACCATCCCAGGAGCCCAGCGCCTTCGGCCCTGCTGCAGGCTAGCTCCGTCCAGGTAGACACACACACACACACACACACACACACACCACCCTAATCCCATCCTCCTCCAGTGTCCTCTCCTCTCACCCTTGACAACAACCTGGCCCGCCTTCCACCCCAAATCTCCTCCTAGCACCAGACCAAGGGGTCAGGTTGTCTTCAGCCTCAAACTCGACCTGCCTGTCACCATCCCATGAGATTCTGAGGCCAGGTCCTGCCAGAATGCTCCCCCTGCCTGTCCCCTCAATGCCTGAGGCCACACCCCTTGTTGCCCTCATGCTAGTCGCCACATGGCCACTCAACTGGGCCCACTTGAGCCCTCGGAGACCTGCTGGACAACTGCCCACAGGCTTGCTCAGGTGCCCCTCACCCTGTGGAACCACTGCTGACCGGGCTGGACTCTCCCTCTGGCCTGGGAGGTGGACACCATCACCCCCTCTCCGTTACGGGCATGGAGGCCACACTGCTGAAGGCCCAAGCACCTGGCCCAATGCCCAGCTCCACCCCCTGCCCATTTCCTCAAGTTTGCATGCTGGGTCTCTTGGCTTGAGCCCAGTGCACACCCTGGCCCACAGTGGGCACCAGGGGATAAGGCCCTGAGCTGGGGAGACAGGTCCTGCCTCCAGAGAGGTGTTTCTGCAAACAGAGACCATCCCTGAGTTGAGATGGAGGGGTGTCTAGACAACTCACTGCAGAAAAGCAAGATGGTCGGTGACTTTGTATAGTGAGAGGTCAGCATCCTCCGCAGGTTCTGCAGGCACCCTGCATGTCATCCCTGAAACCCAAGGTGGGGGGGGGAGGCATCACAGTGAGGGCATACTAGAGCCAGGGACAGGGGGCGAGGAGGGAGCAGGCCAGCTCCTGCATCCTGAGGGAGCCCAGGAACCTCTGACTGGGCACAGCACAAGAGGCGAGGACCCGCCTGCCTGAATGGGAGCAGCCTCACCTGCTTCTACTGGCTAGGATCCTCACCTGGGCCTCACCTGCTCATCCTTGGCTATGATCCTGCCTGGGACGTACCTGCTCCTGTTACATGATCCCCACCTGGGTCTCATCTGTTCCTGCTGCCTATGATCTCCGCCTGGGCTGTTCCTGCTCATCCTTGACTATGGCCCCCACCAGGGAAGTACCTGCTTCTACTGGGGATGACCCCTGCTTGGGCCTTACCTGCTATTGATGCTTATGATTCCTGCCTGGGTCTCACCTGCTTGTCCTTCACTATCATTCCTGCTTGGACCTGCTCGTCCTTGGCTATGATCCCGCACTGAGTCTCCCCTGCTTCTGCTGGCCATGGTCCCTGCCTGGCCTGTATCTGCTCCTAGTGGCTATGATCTCCCCCTGGGCCTTACCTGATTGCATTTGGCTGTTATCGCTGCTTGTTCTAGGGCCAGCTGGCTCCCCAGGTCCTCCTTCGTGTCCATGCTGCAAGACAAAAACTCTGAGTATTACACTGCACTGAAGAGCTTCAAGAACAAACAAGTCTGTTCCCTCTTGGCAGCTCCCCAGGCTGTCCGATCTGAGTGGAGAAAACCCTACAGCCAGGTTGGGTGACATCCTGGGTTGGTGGATCATAGGTTCACACTCACTTTCTAACACTCCCGCTTACAGGCTGCCTTCCCAGCCACCTGGGAAATTCCGTCATAATGAGATTACAAAGCTCTCTTCAGCCAGCTTTATAAGGGACAGGAGGACCCAGAGGTCAGATGGACTGCTGATCTGCAGTGCAGTGTGGTGTCCTCTCGACCCGGCGCTGGCACTGAGGAAAGGAGAGGGCAGCTGCTGCTGATGAGCGGCTTCCTGCAGGCTTACTGGGAATCAAATTTTGCTCTTGGACACCAAAAGCACAAGCAATAAAAAAAATCAATAAACTTGACTTCATCACAATTAAAACTTCAGTGCTTCAAATGATAGCATCGAGAAAGCAAAAAGGCAACCCACATGATGGGTGAAAATGAATGCAAATTGCCTATCTGATACCAGGTCTAGTATACAGAATACGTAAAGAACTCATAACTCAACAATGAAAAGACGAATAGCCCAGTTAGAAAATGGACAAAGGACTTAGACAGACATTTCTCTAAAGTGATAGACTAACGGCCAACAAGCACATGAAAAGATGTGCAATGGCGTTAGCCCTCGGGGAAATGCAAATCAAAACCACAATGAGATACTACTTGTCACCCATTGGAATGGCTGTTACCAAGAAAATGGAAAAGAACAAGTGTTGGCGAGGATGTGGAGAAATTAGAACACTCCTCTGTTGCTGGAAGGAATGTAAAATGGTGCAGCTGCTGTGGAAAACAGTTTGGTAGTTCCTCAAAAAGTTAAACCTAGAGTTACCATATGACCCAGCAATTCTGCTCATAGGTATAGACCCAGGAGAAGTGAAAACAGGTACTCAAATATTTGCACGTGCATATTCATAGAAGAACTACTCACAATAGCAAAAAGGCGGAAACAGTCTAAGTGTCTATGGACAGATGAATGGATAAACAAAATGTGATCTATACATGCAATGGAATATTATTCCACCGTAGAAAGGAACGAAATTTTGGTACATGCTACTACATGGATGGACATTATGCTAAGTGAAAGAAGTCAGACACAAAAGGCTACATATTGTATGATTCCATTTATATGAAATGTCCAGAATAGCCAGATCTATAGACACAGCAAGTGGTCCAGTGGTCCACAGGGGCTGGGGGAGAGGGCCATGGGGGCACCTGCTGATGGGTAAGAGATTTCTTTGTGGGGTAGTGAAACGCTGTGGAAATAGTGATGACAACTGCACAACTCTGTAAATACTCTAAAAACCACTGAGTTGTATACTTTAATGGCTGAATTTGATGATTTATGAATTTAACAAAATCCGTCCTCAGAGCCACATTCCCCACCATCCCAATCCTGAGGGATCCTGAAGGTGGGAGTTGAGAACTGCACATAGATTGAAAGAACTTCCAGGGGCACTCCCACCCATGGACACCCCCTTGCTCCTGCCCTCTCAGCTGTTCCCTGGACCATGCACTTAACCTGGGGATGTCCCTGCAGCAGGGTAGAGCAGGGATTGGAGACCAGAGGTCTCTAGGACCAGCTTCCAGGCGCTTCCACAGACCAGGCAAGCACCCAGTCCTTAATAGGCAACAGGAACTCTTACATCTACTCCATTCTCCTTAAATCTTAACTGATTCTGGCTGGTGAATCAACCTAGAGAACAGCACCAATCAATCGGGAGGGTTTGGGTTTACCTTGTGGGACATGAGGTCCTGGAGAACACCCAGATGGACTGAACCACCAGGGAGCATACAAGGGGCATGGGGTGGGTGACAAGTCTAGAGAACTTGGGACAGGGGGCTGTGCCCCTGTTCCAGCCCTCAGGACAGATGCTCATCACCTGTCCAGGGGTCCCCAAATCTAGACAGGCTGGAGAGGTCAAGGCTAGAGTCTAGCATCACACAGTGCGGGGCTTCTGAGTGAGTGGTGGGGCCCTGGGCGAGTTGTCGAAGCTCTAACCTCAGTCTCCTCTCCTGGAGGCACCACGGGCAGCACCCCACACCCCAGGATGCTGTGGGAGGGCTGCATGAGGCCGGATCACTGTCAGTGCCAGGGGGTCAGTGTCACCCTTGGCCTCAGCCCAGGTAGGCCAGCGCTGCCCACTCATTGGCCACTGTTCCAAAAGTGGCCCCAAGGGAAGAGGGAGCAGGTTACGCTCACCTGTCTTACCAATCTCTGTGAGAGTTGTCTAGAAAGGGACGTGAAGGTCAAGTGGGGCAGTGCGAGTGTTGCAGAGCCTATCGCAGAGCACGAGTGCCTCCAACTATGTGGACAGGAAGCAGAGTGGGTGCCAGGCAGTGGGCAGAACTGTGGGAAGGACTGCCATTCCTCCCGACAGTGAAGCCTCTGGGTCCACAGTGCAGACCAGTGGAACAGG